TACCTACCTACCTACCTACCTACCTACCTACCTACCTACCTACCACCTACCGACCTACCTACCTACCTACCTACCTACCTACCTACCTACCTACCTACCTACCTACCTACCTACCTACCTACCTACCGACCTACCTACCTACCTACCTACCTACCTACCTACCTACCTACCTACCTACCTACCTACCTACCTACCTACCTACCTACCTACCTACCTACCTACCTACCTACCTACCTACCTACCTACCGACCTACCTACCTACCTACCTACCTACCTACCTACCTACCTACCTACCTACCTACCTACCTACCTACCTACCTACCTACCTACCTACCTACCTACCTACCGACCTACCTACCTACCTACCTACCTACCTACCTACCTACCTACCTACCGACCTACCTACCTACCTACCTACCTACCTACCTACCTACCTACCTACCTACCTACCTACCTACCTACCTACCTACCTACCTACCTACCTACCTACCTACCTACCTACCTACCTACCTACCTACCTACCTACCTACCTACCTACCTACCTACCTACCTACCTACCGACCTACCTACCTACCTACCGACCTACCTACCTACCTACCTACCTACCTACCTACCTACCTACCTACCTACCTACCGACCTACCTACCTACCTACCGACCTACCTACCTACCTACCTACCTACCTACCTACCTACCTACCTACCTACCTACCTACCTACCTACCTACCTACCTACCTACCTACCTACCTACCGACCTACCTACCTACCGACCTACCTACCTACCTACCTACCTACCTACCTACCTACCTACCTACCTACCTACCTACCGACCTACCTACCTACCTACCTACCTACCTACCTACCTACCTACCTACCTACCTACCTACCTACCTACCTACCTACCTACCTACCTACCTACCTACCTACCTACCTACCGACCTACCTACCGACCGACCTACCTACCTACCTACCTACCTACCTACCTACCTACCTACCTACCTACCTACCGACCTACCTACCTACCTACCTACCTACCTACCTACCTACCTACCTACCTACCTACCGACCTACCTACCGACCTACCTACCTACCTACCTACCGACCTACCTACCTACCTACCTACCTACCGACCTACCTACCTACCTACCTACCTACCTACCTACCTACCTACCTACCTACCTACCTACCTACCTACCTACCTACCTACCTACCTACCTACCTACCTACCTACCTACCTACCTACCTACCTACCTACCTACCTACCTACCTACCTACCTACCTACCTACCTACCTACCTACCGACCTACCTACCTACCTACCTACCTACCTACCTACCTACCTACCTACCTACCTACCTACCTACCTACCTACCTACCTACCTACCTACCTACCTACCGACCTACCTACCTACCTACCTACCTACCTACCTACCTACCTACCTACCTACCTACCTACCTACCTACCTACCTACCGACCTACCTACCTACCTACCTACCTACCTACCTACCTACCTACCTACCTACCTACCTACCTACCTACCTACCTACCTACCTACCTACCTACCTACCTACCTACCTACCTACCTACCTACCTACCTACCTACCTACCTACCTACCTACCGACCTACCTACCTACCTACCTACCTACCTACCTACCTACCTACCTACCTACCTACCTACCTACCTACCTACCTACCTACCTACCTACCTACCGACCTACCTACCTACCTACCTACCTACCTACCTACCTACCTACCTACCGACCTACCTACCTACCGACCTACCTACCTACCTACCTACCGACCGACCTACCTACCTACCTACCTACCTACCTACCTACCTACCTACCTACCTACCTACCTACCTACCTACCGACCTACCTACCTACCTACCTACCGACCTACCTACCTACCTACCTACCTACCTACCTACCTACCTACCTACCTACCTACCTACCTACCTACCTACCTACCTACCTACCTACCTACCTACCTACCTACCTACCTACCTACCTACCGACCCTACCTACCTACCCCCCTAACCATATCTAAACAACCAGAAACAACAAACAACCCAAAAACCACAACAGACCCCACATAACCCACGCCCATCTACAACAACACCCCACGAACCCTACTCACCCCGTCCACACCAACACACCAATACCCACGTACTTTGGTAAACAACTATCCTACATTATAACCTTCCTATAGCCTATACTCTGATTGGCAACATATACTTCATACTATAGTCAATTAATGCATTGCATCGAAGCCTTACTCACAGTCTATAATTTGTAACTGCATGATAAGCTTGTAAAATGGTACTTATAGAAATAGTGTTTTCCAACAGGATATGAAACATGGAGCATTGTGTGTGGTATGGCATATATCCAAAAATAAGCTTAAATGAGCCTGACATCACAAAAGGAGGGAGGGTGGAGTTACTGACCGGCAAGCATTGATGGTGAGGGCGATGACTTCAATCCACCCGTGTTTGTGGGGTAGAATATTTTGTTTGTATCAGGCTCTTTATGGTTGAGAACGAGTCAATCAATCTGTAATATTGAGGTTGTTCTCCTACGCCCACCATTCACACTCATGTTTCCAATTTTATGCTAGATTAGCTATTCTACTAAGACAACCTATAACATGCTTATTCGGACTTTTACGCTAGGATTGTGTGGCTGGCATCAGATGGACAAAAAAAGAAAAGAAAGGAAGAATTGGACAATAAAAGATATAGTTATTAGTATTCTTAACACTTCACCCTCTATGTGCACACTCCCTTCTAATAAACCGCTTTCCTTGTACCAACCTTGACTTCCGTTCCCTCATGTGAGCTTACTCCAACTTGTTAAACATCACAACTCATTGTTCTTCATTACTACATTCTCTTATATGGAGCCTCTGACATCATTTCACTCTAAAAAGAGATAATATGAATTTAATCTAATTTATCATACCTCTGTTTGTTCTACTACACAATGTTAAGCAACGTTTGGCATTCATATTCAAGTGCGTTGCTGCTCTTCTGTTTCTCTCTTTTTTTACTTCAGGATCTTGCTCTGAGGGTACAGCTATGGAACTTCTGACGTCTGGAACAAACTTGACGTACGTGTCCCCTCAACGTCATAGTTTACAGCAAGCGCTCTACGAGTCTACTTTATAAAAACTATAAACTTAATAAGTTGGGAAGCATGCTGTGAGCCAACAAGTATTGTAATGCGTAAATCATGCATGTAAAGATGGTGTGTACATGCTCATGCAGAAATATGTTAGTATTATATATAGCATATTGGATTTATGTTTAAGAGGAAGTTACAGGAGTGCATAATAACGTCTCTATCACTTTTCGTATAAAACATACTTTTTAAAGTCCAGCCAACACTCTGGACAATGACTAATAACTTATGGTTGAATGCACTAAAAATATCAATTTACTGAATAAGTATAAAGTTTATGGAAGGAAGATATAGGAATGTGTGGCATTCGTGCGAACTGATCATTCTTTTGTACTTGATTGCCCGCTTATTTCGAATTCAAAATACAATACGTTCGTTTGAATTTACCTAGTTCTGTCTGGCTTATATTGTAATAATGCACGTGGACAACTGCGGACACTCATTCGATTGGAAAAACGTGGAAATCTTAGACAGAGAAAACTCCAAAAACACCAGGGAATTTTTAGAAGCCTGGCACTCAGGTCAACCAGCAATCGACAAGCATATTGAAATCAATCCAATTTACCGACCAATCAGAAAAATCATGCACAAATATAGGGACAAAAATCAAACCAATGGGAGACACAACCAAAACAAAGAAGTAAACAATGACAAATTTACGGTCAACAAGAACCAATCAACATCGAGGTGCACAGAACAAGCTGTGAAACGTATATGGAGAAATACGAACACTTCACTTCTACCTGAAGTTTGTGCTGATGATGTCGTTCAGAAGAACGATGAAGGCTCTACGACCAAACCATCCAGCTCAGAGAACAAAACTCCACCAAAATCATCCACCTGAGCTACAAATCTTCTCCACTATATTGTACTGTACCGAGAATTTCTAGTAAATACAACAAATCGAATACTTCTAATCATCGTACTAGATTAAGGGAAGTAAACATTAAATCGCTTAGAGAATATACAGGGGACAGCTGCCCTCATAATTCGAGAGTTGCATGACTTACCATTCAACCCTTGCACTTTATGTGATAGATGAACAAGAAGTATTGCATACGATAATGAGAAATGATTTTGGACCTAATCTATCCTCTTACTTTATTCCAACTCGATCAAGACAATAGAGAGAAAAAACATTAGGTAAATCCCAAAGTAAAACGAATGAACCAAAAGTAAATCGAATTTTCTTTCCTGTTCATGAAGAAACAATATTTCGATAAAAACACAAAGCATTACCTTCTACATCACATGGAAAATTACAAACAAAATTATATAAGATTGATGCTAATTATTCGTTTATGTTCAATTGTTAAGTGTAAAGTTTACAGTGGAATTAAAACAACATATATCTACATAAAAAAAAGTAAACTATACTAAATGCAAAACATTTTATACATTTGTGGGCATATAAATATATATATATATTATATCATTTGGAACTTTCTATATGTCCGTTAAAGGATCGTCAATTGATGTGTATGCAGGTAAACTTCATTGTATTAGCTATACAAGTTCTATAAACATAATCAATTGTGAACAAGAGACGTAATTTGTAAAATATAACAAACAAACGATCACTTAATAATAATGATAATAATAGTAATAACCAGTTGTCAACCAGTATATACGTAGCAAAAAAGAAAACTACCAAGAAAAGGTTTACAATAACAAACAATTAGGTCAAAGAAAGGAAGTAATAATTGGAAATGAAGCAATACCAATGAGCATATTAGATACAATAGTAAAAGGAAAAAGATGAATGTCCAAAGTTGATGTTGTTGAAATATAATAATAATAATAATAATAATAATAATAATAATAATAATAATAATAATAATAATAATAATAATAATAATAATTGTAAACGATTATTGAATGTAAACGTATTGGGAAATAGATATATTAACTTGATATAATTATTTACATGACGATTACACTGTAAGCAGTGAAACACCCGTTAGCAAATATCGCAATGTATAATTATGCTGGATTATGTAATAATTCATACAACTTATTCATAGTTGATAATCTATTGAAGAAAAAAGAAAACAAGTTTGTAGAAATAAATAGGGTTATATAATACATTCGATTTACGATATTTATAGATTTGAAGTTTAGAATTAATGAAAAAAGATGAAGTTGAGATACAGTTGTAGGTGGTACTATTTGTGGATTGATATCGATTACTTAGTTACTTACGCCTATTCCTCCTCGTAGAGGAGAATAGGCCGCTCACCAGCATTCTCCATCCAATCCTGTCCTGAGTAATCTTTTACAGCTCTTTCCAGTTGTTATTCATCCCTTTCATATCTCCTTCTATTTCCCGACGTAATGTGTTCTTTGGCCTTCCTCTTTTCCGCTTCCCTTCAGGATTCCAAGCTAGGGCTTGCCTCGTGATGCAGTTTGGTGATTTGCGTAACGTATATTCTATCCATTCCTATTGTCTTTTCCTAATTTCCTCTTCAAATGGAAACCGGTTTGTTCTCTCCCACAAAAGGCTGTCGCTGATGGTATCCGGTCGATGGATGATGAGTGTCTTGCGTAGACAGCTATTTATAAATACTACTACATTCTTGATGATGGATGTATTAGTTCTACAAGTTATTGACATCGATTAATGTACCATTAAAGAACAATAAGCGGTGTACAGTTATTTAATACCATCATGTGGTTTTTTGGGATGAGAACCCATCACTGGACTAAGTAATCTTTCTGTGAACCCATATTTTTATCATGAACTGTGCGAAGTGAGGACTATTGTATTCCAACTCAGGGGTCAAAAGAAAATGCGTTAGTCTCTAGGATTGAACATAGTAGTTTTGACCCCCTGACAATATGACTCATGAATCTGAACTATTGAAAAATTTATATAAAAAGATGAAATGGCTGTCTAACATTTACCAGTTTTCAATAGTACTGTGATGTATGCTACTTATGTCTGCTGACATAAGTAGTATGTAACACCAGTTAAAAGTTGAATGCCTGTCAAATGAAAATTGAGGAGATTGCATTGAAGAAAACAGAAAGGAAAGCACGAAGGAATCAAGAAATGGAAGAATCACAAAGGATATAAAGGATAACTGATGGAATATTTACAAATACAGTATTTAATATATGGTCTTTACATTTTATCAAAAAAACCTCTGTAATTATGAATTAAACAATATACTGGTTTACCATACCCGAGTATTCGGTCACTACAATACCTCAACTGATATTAGTCCACTATATATATAATGTATACGTTAGAAATCGTAAAAATGCATCAACCAAGATTAATTACATTGTGATCCTACCTTTTTATAGTTTAATAACTTTTCAAAATAAAGTGACCAATAAATTATTATTCATGTACATATTATCCAAGCATGATTATTGAATTAAATTCACTTCGTATTTCTTTAGAAACTAGCAAGCTTACTCAAATGGATTCAGTCCAAAAGGTCTAGGTGTTCATTTCACAAGAATCCAACCATGCTAAAGGTATTACTTATCGTAACTTGTTGTAAAGCTGAAGAGTTACTTAAATTTGGTAAGTGCAAAAGCAAACCATAAAAATTATGTCAGATTTAAAGAATGTATTTATGTAATTTGGATTTAAGTTTCTCTATTAATTGTAAAGTAAATGAGGTAAACTAAAGTATGTGACGACTGCAATACAGTAGTTATTTCTTATCTCTTTAAAGCGGTTACCAGAATCAAAGATGAAAGTCATTCAAAAGTTACACTTGACAGGAAAATTCTAAAAGTTAAAGATTCTAAACTCACTGATGAAAGCTTAAGATCAGAGAGTAATGAAAATGAGAAGACAATCAAAAACTGAGATCTGTGGTGTTTGAATGAACTAATGATACTTTTGTACTTGTTGAATGCTTGATTTCGAATTTTAAATAAAGTACATTCGTTTGTGGTTATCTTGATCCGACTACGTTATTTCTGGGATTCTTAGTTTATACTACAATTCAAATACTTCTGATTATCACATATCACAAAATATTGAATGCCATTCTTAGAACAAAAAAATGTAAATTTTCAAAATCTCCCAAAAAGCCAACTGAGTGATACTTACACTTTGTGATCAATAAAATTTTATTCATGAATGGGTCGTAGACTGATTGATTTCGTTTGTATCAACATCGTAACTATCATTTTGTGATTCCGTTTCTTCTATGTCAAAATCACGTACTATCAAAGTTTTCTGAGGTACATTTGTACAACTAGAATCTGGTATTTGATTACTGTTACAATTTAATGATATTGTAGATACTCCTATCATAGTCTGTTCATCAGTTGCACAAACTACTGATGATGCACTGGATTGTAATGATGATGATGATGATGACGAACGTGTCATTTTAGAGTCATTTAATTCCAAAGGCTTTGGTTCTATTGCCTCAGATGATTGTGCAGGGGGCACTGAGTTTGATGGTTCCGGATGAATGAATGGTCTAGGAATATTGATAGTTGATAAAACTGGAGAATTAGAATCAGTATGTATGCTGAAGACCGAAGAGCCTTGTAATTGGTTACTTTGATTTGATAAACGACTCATAATGCTTTGACGTAAAGAACCGAATCGACTACGAAGCCAGTTGAAAAAGGCAGGTGGTGGGTCACCTTGTGGTTTCGGAAATGGTTCTATCCATGAGACTGTTGATGAGTTCACAAACTGATCAGAATCAAGCTGTGAAGATTGTCGAGGTTGTTGTGTACATGGTTTAACAGGAGTTAAGTTTTTAAACGAGGTCTGATATTTACTTAGTCTAGGATATTTATCAAAATCTTCGTAGGCTGGAGGTGCTTCATCAATAACCCTAAATGAAAGAAATGCAAAAGGTATAAATGCACTATGAATTTTCAAACAAACTTAGGCCCATCCTATAAAAATACACGATGGAGATAAGCTTAATCATCGAACAGAATAACTTATCACGAACTTAACAGGTATATAACTTGCATAGTAAATTAACAGAACTATGGTTATGTGTGGCGAGTATCAAACAGCACGAATCCTAGTTCATGTGGAGTTTCCTGCTGATTATTTACAACCCATAAACATTAGAAAGAAGTGTAAACTTAGCGAAAACTAGAAAGTTTACATGGGAAAATTCTTTCATAATTCTAACAAGAAAATGTATAAGCAAGAAACCATAATGTAGGAGTAAAATGTAACAAAACTTGGATCCTAATTATGAATACACTGTTCTATACCCATTTAGATTGTATTATGAGCCAACAATAAGTAAGTTCTGTAATTTTATATTAAAATAACTTCTCATTATAGTTAGCTTAAACAATTAATTCCTTTGATAAATTTAGATAATGCAATAAGCAGATGAAGGTTATCAGATATATTTTCAATATATTCGTAAAATACATTTCAGTCAATCAATCAGTCAGCTGCAACGTAAAACCAAGCACATATATGCATCGCTCCAAGTTGCAACACCTCATTAGCAAAACAAGGTGAACACCAAATTCATAGAAGTAGTCACTTCAACGGTAGTAATATATATAAGAAAGATTGTGCATAAGGATATAGTACATGAAGAAAGAATTAGTTCGTAGAAAGTAAGATATAAAGCCATTTTAATCCCACGGTTTAAGGGAAGACAAAGAGTATATACATCGACGCCATTATGATCGATTCTGAGACATGTCACCCGAAGTCACTAAACACTGGTTACGGTAGTCTGCATCTACCAATATGGTTCAGACTAGAAGTTAGTGACTTCAAGGATTGATGCCACATTTCAGTTTGGCCGTCCCTAACTTTCTTCCAACCGTCTCTAACATCAATTAGCATTGTGGATCGTAGTAATCGGTGTTCAAGCATACGTAACACGTGGCCCAGCTATCTCAGTTGATGAAAATTTACAATCTTCATATCCATATGCTTGTTAAGACGTCTTATATGAAAAAAATCGAATGTTAACTAGACAAAATGGAATATAAAAGGAAATAAAGATAACAATATACTACACAATGTGAAAGCCAATCTAGATAAAAAGTTCGTACTACCATTCTGGATTGAATGCTAAAACAAACTGCTTTTGAATATATAAAGGGTATTTCAGTTTTTGTGAGGTTGAGGCTTCAATTAGCGTTTGTATACAACTTTTAACAATTTTATATTACACAAAGAAGGTTGATTTCATATCAACACTACGACCCATCTCAACCAAATATTTTTCAATGAAGGAAGATATTTGTCTACTCTGTGATTTTATCAAATCAATGGAGTTCATTTGTTTGTGCAACCATTTAGGTATATGTTCAAACACCCCTACTTGAAGATCACGATTCCTCCTCCATGTGTATGCGTTTCAGCACTTATACATAAAGTGACAAACACAATAAGATTTCAGTAGTTGAAATCATAAGTCAATTGAAGCTAAACTACCATGGAAAGCCTGGAAACACTGGACGGCCGTTCCATCCTAGTATGGGACTCCTCAGCAGTGGACATCTACGATCCCCCCTGCAAGATTCGAACCCAGGACAATAAGATTTGACACAGTCGTTTACATTCTTTAAAACCCCCATTATATGCGCGTAATCGTAATTATCCTAATTTTATCAATCCCATAGCATGTTCAATGACTTGTAATAAAAAAAATTAACTAATTAGTTTGATCATGAATCTGATCTCTAAATCATAAACTATCTACCATTGTTTATGTGTACAATAGAAAACTCAACCGGACTCGTTCTATATTCAATTTCATTAAGCTGAAACTATTCATTATAATATTTAAAACTGATTTTAAAAAAATAAACCGAAAATTCATTTTATTAACGAACAGTTACTTAAGAAATTAAAAAACGTTTCCGATGGTACATTGTTTAATATTTTCAACTACTTTATAAATTATAGAATATATAAATTATTATAGGGTGTGTCATTTAAGTCATTCTCCTAAGGATATATTTCCTTTTCCTATTGTCATAGTAATTTCTTTTAAGAAAATATAAACAAATACTTTGCATTTCATTTTGTATTGTTTGTTTGAATCTTCTCATAGATATATTTAGGACTGCAATTGGAATATGTGCATCTTATGCAGATTGTCTTGATATTATCATAAGTCATAAGTATTATAAGCAAAGATAAATAGCGGATAGCAATGGAATCCAAGACTCACGTTTCGTCCTATTCGAGACTCGTCAGCTGGATGTTTATTACAGGATGCGATAGCGTTTGAAGCGAGTTTTATTAGGTTCGAGTCCCAGGGTGAATATGAAACGCTGGGCTGAAGGTACATTCCGCTGACAAGTTCCAACACAGGATGAAACGTGCTTCTAGTCACCATTCATATTCGCTTAAAGTGCTTTTCTATCTTATAAAGTGAAAATTTATATCTGAATGTTATTACGGTGTATGATTGAATATAAAGATGAATAGAATGTTTATTGTTGTGTATAACACCCTAATTAGCATTATATATATTTTAAAAAAATGTAATCCAGTTACCAAAATCAGTCAAGCAAACAATAATGACATGCTCGCTAGTAACTGATCTCCAGATAAATTCTTAAATTCCTTGTGAGAAGTTATGATTAGTTAAGTCATTTCGGATCATCGTCCAATATTACAGTTTTACTGACATTAAAAATACAAATATGTATATGAGCATCATAAACTCCATGAAAAATTAAGCATTAAAGAAAAGTAGCCATAATTGCATAAATTTCATTCACCTGAAGCATGTAGCAACTATCCTACAATCAATTTCGATCAGGGTTAATTTGGGTTAATCCCTTTTTGTGAACTTAACAGATAATGTGTTATTTCAACAGTAACAATTCGCATATTCCTTTGTACCGTTATGATCACTAGATCATATGACAAACTCTAGCTGAAATGTTCATTGCTTCGTTCTCGTTCCCATGTATATATGTACTCAAATCTTATTATGAGTCTTTGCTTTGCCTTGCTGAACCCTTATACAATTTGACTATAAATTTGCCTATGTAGTTGTTCATACATGCTTATTCGCCTCTCCGCTTTAATAAACTGTAGTTGCCGCTTCTCATTGCCTTCTGATTTTAATCAACATTGAGACTGATATTATAATGGTTATCGAGGTGATTGAATAACTGTTGGGATTTATTTCTGGACTATTACTATACGTATATTTTTATCGTATAATTGTTCTGTAACTAAACTATTCATATTCATGTTCCTCTTATTATGAGCTTTATTTTGACCTATGAATTAATATTATACGATTTACCATTCTTGAGTTATGCCCTGTCTATCAATTACTATCTCCCTCATTCACGGCCACATTTGGCTAAATCTTGTACAAATGTTGTTTCTTACTTTATGGTACAATGTGATCTATCTGGTTGGTATATAAACCCAGTATGTTTGAAATAAATGATTCACATCGCAGAGGCTGAGATTGATGTGCTGGACTTAACAGGCAGGGTTAGGCAGGAAGCAGAACCGATAAGTACTGTAGAATGCTCCCACGGGTTTTATGCGTCATTGGTCCGGCCGTTAATTCACTGCTCTCTAGTTGGTGGTATCATCAAGTTATACATTAACAGGGCACACAGGCCACAAGTTATAACAATCTGTAACGAATAGTATCTGGAAATTAAGAAACCATCTACACAAAACCCTTTTGTCAACAATATAAACTGTATGGATAGACTGTATGGATATTTGGGACCGATAACTATCGTTTTGTTTAGGTTTAAATTTCTTGTTACTGTTCTGTTAGTGTTCTCAATTGTCTAGATAAAATCAATAGTTTATTAAAATTATTTGATCATATTTCGAATTATACATCTAGTGTATGATTTAAAATGAATATTTGACCGGATAAGTGTATAACAGTTATCATTTATATCATTGCTTAATCATCGAGATATATCGTGAATTGAATGACATTGTAGTGTTGAACTATTGGTCTAACACTTTTAACTTAATATAGGACTTAATGATTGTTGATTCAGCCTTATTCTATGTAGTTATCAGTATACACATGAAATAGAATTAAACTGTTGTCTACTACATTCATGTTTTTAATTGTCATTTAACTAATCTCTATTTATGAGAAATAATTTCTAAAAACGAAATGATTTCTGTAAACTATCAAACTGAACAATAACACATTTGTATCAGAAGGGATATTTGAGGATATTATAGTAATTTCCATGGTTGAATTCATGGGTCAATTGAAGCTAGACCATCATGAAAAACCTGGGAGCACTGTATGGCCGTTTCGTCCTCCTATGGGACTCCTCAGTAGTGAGCATCCACGATCCCGCCCCGCGGGATTCGAACCCAGGAGCTATCGGTCTCGCGCACGAACACTTGACCTATAGACCACTGAGCCAATATTTCATATGATTTACAGTCTGACAGAACTAACTAAAGTAACGAAATTACGAAAAAAGGACACCTTATGCTACTGAAGAAGAAAGACAATTCACTGACTATTTACTAAAGCTGTATAATCATACTTATAACCTGTTTGTATGAATAAGTCTACAAGGAAAGATTATGACACACAAAACTGTGAATCTATTAAAAGGATAGGAGAAGAAATACAAGCATTGATTGTGTAGAATCAAGTATTAAGACAAAACAAAAGCACAAACTTCTACCTAAAGTTCGTGCTGATAATGTCGTTCAGAAGAACGAAGAAAGCTCCATAAATAAACTATCCAGCTTTGAGAACAAAATTTCATCAAAATTATCCACTTGAGCTACAAATCTTGTCCACCATCTCATGAAATATTAATAGTCTTCATTGAACTTATCAACTAAATGTCTCTTCATAACAAGCAAGGTACATTG